TTTGACTCCTCGCTGGCCACGCCCCCGGCCGGCCGTCTCCGCCAATGGCGGCCGGCGAGGGGGCCCTGCCCGGCCAATGGGCGAGCTCCGAGGGGAAGGCGCCGTCAGGACAACCGTGACTCCGGGAAGAGAGCAGAGGAAAAAAGGTTCGCGAGTCCGGGTGGCTGCGCTCCGCCCGCTCGCCCGCCCGCGCCGGAGGGAACTGGGCGAGGCGGCGAGGAAGGTGCCATTCTGGGACCAGTAGCCTGGGTCGCATCGAAGTGCGGTCTTTTTTTTTTTAAGAAAAATTCTCCACCCCAAACCCCTTTTAAACCTTCATATTTTTCCCCCGTTGTTTTTCTTTTAATGCCATGGTTTCTGAGTAAATATATCCAAAGTGGAAAAATCTAAAAATAAGTTTTCTGCGCCGGTTCACGTCAATTTCTAGAGACGCGGAGGCGACGCTTTCTTTTTCTGAGGCGTGTTAGTATTATGTCAAACCTCCTCGCCTGCCATCCCTAGCACTGAGGACCGTAATAATAATCAGTTAGCGTAAATTGAAAAAAAAAAAGTCTATATCCTAATTTTTTAAGAAAAAACAAACCACCCAAAAAAACAACAGACTACCTGGCGAATTCGTGAGCGCGGCGGTCCTTATTCGCACCAGGCTGTCGTTGGCAAAAATCAAATGCGATTTTGTTAATGGAGTTTTTATAGAACTCATTGACACCTTGGGTCCTAAACTCATTTAACACCTCGGGGCTTGATATTTGGGATTAAGTTGTGGGATGGCGTGTGGATGAAGGTGGGGGAGAGGAAAGCATGTTTACGACGGAAGGTCCGCTTGCGACGCGATGGAGTGGATTTCTGAATAAAAGCAGTGTGGTCAAAATCTTCGCCAATAACCGTGTTTAATTTGGGTGTCCGCTTTTTTTTAAAATTGGCACCGACCGGACATCGGGAAAGTCATGACTCCCTGCCCTATCCTTCCTCCTCCGCTCATCCTCCCCCCCTTAATTATTCCATTAGAGGCAATCAGGATGGGTTAATTAGCGACTCGAGCCTGTAACCCAGGTGTGATTTTTTTTTCTGCTGGCCCCGAACTAGCAGGCTGGCTATTAACTGCTTTGAAAAAAGAACTACAGAAACAAACGGAAACATAGTGTGTGTGTGGGGGGGGGGAGAAAACATATATTCGCTTCCCCTCTCCTTTTTTTAATGCATGAAAGAATCAGAAAGGCGACTTTCATATATTAAGTTTCAAACCCGCTCCTAAAACTTTGTTTCTGCAGCCCGGCTTAGAAAGTTTTTGTCCCCGTTTTTTTCTTCTTTTTAATAATAATATCTCAAGGGGAGAGGGCAAAGTCCTACAATGCAATCCTAGGCAGGTCTACTCAGAAGTAAGGTTCAAAGCACTCACGCCTAGGTCAGTGCGTGTGGTAAACACAGCCAACGACTAGCATTCAGCCGCGGAATTCATGCAGGCGTTTTAGGCAGAAGTACTGTACATCTCACTGTGGTTCAAGGGAATTTCTCCCAGGTAAATCATAATAAGTTTGTAACGAAGACGTTTCAAACGGATTATCTCAGTGGCAACAGACGGAAAAGCTCTCTTTTGGGACTGGATTTCGGTTCCTCGGCCTTTTGACGACGCTATTTTAGAACCTCATTTAGTGATTTTCGAGACGAATTAATAGTTTCCGATCCGTTTATTTCCATCCAACGGGCTTCAAGGCGAAGAGCGATCGTGGTCGGCCGATGAAGTGTTTTCTGAGAATATGCCTTTCTCAGGAACGTATGGTTTAGGATCGCAGCTTTAGGATCTTAAAGGAAGAAGCTGAATCTTCCGCGCGGGGAACTGAGCGACAGGAGGGAAGTTGACACGAGACCAAAGTCAGAACATTTGATGGTGGAGGCGAAATTGACAATATATTTCGGAAGAGCATGTGCATTTATTAGGAAGTGTGGTTGAGTGGGTCAAAAAAACCCAGAAACATAATATTTCTGGAATAAAAGCTGAAGGACGTCATATTTCTGGAATAACAGCACAAAAGGGGGAAAAATTACCTTCCTCAACGGAACCAGGATGAGAGGGGAAAAAAACATTAGTTTACATTATTCTTATGAGAAAGAGAGATTGAATTTTAATGCTCCTGATACAATACAATGGGGTTTTCCCCCCAGAAAGCAGACCCGAAAGAGTTGGATGTAGGAGAAATTAAGGGGAAAGATTGACAGATAACACTGCTGGCTTTCTCTTGGCTGCAGATTTCTGGGGCGGGGGCGTCCTGAAAAAAAAAAAGAGATAAAACTCTCACAGTAGAGGTGAAAAAGACGGGAGAAGGAATTCGACGGAAATTCGGAATATTTCATTAATCCCAAGAACGCCAGCGCTTGAAACATTCTTGAAATATTCTCTTTTTTGCTTCCTTTCCGTCCAGCAAAGAATCATAATTAAATATAGTTTTCCAATGTCTTACTGAGGGGTTTTTTTAATTGGGGAGGGGGGAGGCGAGGGGAGTTGAATTGTCTAATGAAGTTTTGGTATTCCAGCAATGGGAACAAGAAGAGTTGAAGTCGAAGTGATGGGAAAGCCGGATATTGTTATGAATCTGAAAAAGAAAAAGAAAAAATAGACAAACGAGCGTCTATTTTTAAAAGGGGGGGGGAGAGGAGGAGGGGACAACCTCCCCGTCCCTCTTTTCTGAAGGATTACTCCTGCCTTTCATTTAGATGCCCTGTTGCTGAAGTTTCTAGAACAAGTCTGTTTGCACTCATTTACCGAAAATAAATATAATTAATGTTGGTCTTCCTCTCACAGTCTCACCTCTAATAAATGCCCGCAGAGACACTGTTCAAGGGCTGACTTGCTTTTCCATGGCAAACATCTCAGACGAGTTCTAAAAGAAGGCAAATATATAAAGAAGGGATGTTTGCGCGACCTCGGGTGAAGCCAGTTTTCCAGCTGCACAGAACGCTTCTTCAGGCTTAAATGTCCAGACCAAAAAAATCATTTCAAGAGAGCTTCTTCAGGCTTAAATGTCCAGACCAAAATCATTTCAAGAGACGTTTCAGGGGTTCAGCGACATTTACCTTCACATAGGTCGCTTCTTTCTCCTCCTCCTGAAATATTCTCATGGCAGCAGCGTCTCCGCGGAGAGTGATGCTCTGGCTTCGCATTGTTTGTGAAAAACACAAGACTCGTGTCACTTGCGAGGCCCCTCTGCGGCACAGCGCCACTTTCTGGCCTTTGGTGCCCTCTAGAGGCAAAAGGCCTGAATTGAAATCTGCCTCCGAAGAATTTTCCCGTCTACAGAAAGGCTCTAATGAAGGCGGCGACATCTTCTGGATTGACCGCAGCAGCGCAGGAGGAATAGGAAACCAAGAAACTCCAAATTTGACGCAAGAGTGGGCAAGTGGTGGATCTCTAAATAGTGCTGGACTGCTATTCCCATGAGCCTTAGCGAGAGGTAAGGAATTATGGGAGCTGCAGCCCAATGCCATTTAAAAGGATGGTGACAGCAACTACGAAATTAAAAGACGCCTGTTCCTTGGGAGGAAAGCGATGACAAACCTTGACAGCATCTGAAAAAGCAGAGACATCACCTTGCCAACAAAGGTCCGGATAGTCAAAGCTATGGTTTTTCCTGTAGTGACGTATGGAAGTGAGAGCTGGACCATAAAGAAAGCTGACCGCTGAAGAATTGATGCTTTTGAATTGTGGTGCTGGAGGAGACTCTTGAGAGTCCCCTGGACTGCAAGGAGAACAAACCTATCAATTCTAAAGGAAATCAAGCCTGAGTGCTCCCTGGAAGGACAGATCCTGAAGCTGAGGCTCCAATACTTTGGCCATCTCATGGGAAGAGAAGATTCCATGGAAAAATCCCTGACGTTGGGAAAGTGTGAAGGCAGGAGGAGAAGGGGACGACAGAGGTCAGACAGGGTCACCGAAGCAACCAACGTGAATTTGACCTAACTTCAAAAGGCAGTTGAAGACAGGAGGGCCTGGCATCCTCTGGTCCATGGGGTCACGAGGAGTTGGACACGACTAAATGACTAAACAACAGCCCAGTACCACCTGGAATTGCCTACCTGGCAACAAGCCCAACTGAAATTAGTGATTTCCTGCTGAGTGAATAAGTACAGTACTGGGTTACGAGTTACCAGTTACTGTATGCTGTAATGTTATCATGTTATGCTGTTAAGCTTTTACGTTGAAGCTAAGCTGTTTAAGTTACATATGCAAATACAAAGTATTTTTCTAAGCTATGTTTGGCCTGTCTTATAATTTTGCATCCAGAGTTTAAGGAAGAGCACTGAATTCTGTTACGTTTCCACCCATTCTCTCCAGGGAGCCACATTCTTTCTTGAATCAGCTTTAAACGTTTCTGCTAGTACATGTTTATGTACACACACTGAGATCTATTGTTCCACTTACTGCGGGGAGTGAAAGAATCCTGTCTCTGCAGCTCCATTCATTAGCAGGACTGGTCACCCTCATTAGTATATAAGCACCAACACTGTCATCTACAATAGAAGTCTAAGACTGGATTTCGAGCCCATAGATCCACCACTGACGTGGTATTTTCCCTGATACAGTTGCAGGAGAAATGCAGGGATGAATGGCAGCCACCCTGGGTCCATCTAGCCTTTAGTATTTCCAACTCTGACTCGGAGCAGCTCCCCAAGAAGTTCCCAACCTGCTGTTCCCTGGCAGTCTCCCATCTAAGAAGGGCCTCAATCCTGTTACCTTCTCAAATTGCAGGTGGCCCACTGTGTCCAAGAAGGTCCAGATCTTTGGGGCAATGCCCATCAACCCCAGCCAGTATGGCCATTGCTCAAATATTATGAGGAGTGTTGCAGTCCAAATACTTAACTCTAACCCCCAAGGAGGGCTGAAGGTATTTATGACCTGTGTTCGAAACTTCTGCAAAGTGCGGAGAGGGGATCTGAAAGTCTTCTCGTCAATCTTCTCTTCTCTTCCTCCCACTTCTTTTCAACTTTGCTTGCCTCCAACCATCAGCTACAACCCCCTGTCCTGCTCTTTTCTCCGTACGTGACCAAAATATTATAAATTCTTGCATTTCACGTGTTTCAGGGGTGACCTTTCTGTTCATTTAACCAATTCCTGAGGTTCTTATACGCGCCATGAACCAACCTTGGACTGCCATGGAGACCTTGAACTTTTAATCTACACGTTGAACTAGAATTTTAACCAAATGGGTGGTTTTGGGTCTTGTTTACCGTATGCTAATTTCAGGTGTGTTCATGTGTTTTTAAGGGGTTTAGAACGGCTTTAACTCATTAACATGTTTATCACACACACAAACCCACTAAACACTATTGGGGTTTTAGTCAGATTGTTCGTTAAGCCGCTTTGGCTTGGGAGAAAGGTAGCGTACAAATGAAAGTCAGAAAGTAAGCACGTAAATGCATTTCTCGAGCTCCTCGGTTTTAACTGATCATCCTCATCAACTCGGTTTTACGAAAGGCTAGCATCCTCTATTTTTTCCTCCCCTTTCATTCGTCGCGTCTAGTCCATCGCTGGGGTTCAGACAGACGGGAACTCCAAGCATCAGCGGGCCACTTGCCCGCCCCGGTCCTGCGAACCCGGAATCCGTGGCAGGACCCGAGGCGCACGTGTGAACGCCAGGGCAGCCTCGCCCGTCTCACGCTCCTCCGCGTCCCGCGCTGTCCCTTCTCGCTTGCCGTCGGCAGCCCAAAAACACGTGGAAACGACGCGGGGGAGGGGTGTGGAACGGAAAAGGAGGCGTTACAATGTAACTGGCCGAGGAACGTCGTTGGCTGACGCTGCGGAGGCTGTCAGCTGGGAGGAAAAGCATGGAGGTGGGCGAGCGAGGCGCCGGCGCTGGTAAGCCTTGCTGCTTGAAAAGGAAACCCTTCGGGGGGAGCAGGGGGAGGGACCACCCTCAGCAGCAGAGCCTTTATTTTGCATTCCTATTCCAAAATCGGCCGGGCAGCTCAGGCCAAAAAAGCGCTCCGTTTGCGCTCGGGTTTTTGCTTTGTTTTGGAGATCCACAGAGTCCTGTTGCGGCTTGAAGACTACCTGTTTTTATTGGAGCATTTGGTGCAATAAAGCCCACTTTCTTAAGTGCCTGGGATATAACCTGGGGTTTCCGGTATGTATGTATGTATGTATGTATGTATGTATGTATGTATGTATGTATGTATGTATGTATGTATGTATGTATGTATGTATGTATGTATGTATGTATGTATGTATGTACCTCACTGTGTATCAGTCTACCCATATCCATGCATATTGTACGTGCACCTGAAAATCTGGAGAATACAAATTCCTTGCAATCTGATATAGTGGCTCATGAAATTCCCGGCGTGGTGTAATGGATAGAGGGATGGGCTTGGACTCTGGGGAGAAGAGTTTGAATCCCCACTTGGTCAGGGAAACTGACTGGGGGAGAAGAACTGGTAAAACCACTCCTAAAATATCTCACTTACCTTGAAAGCCCATTTAGGGTTGGCATTGAGGGGAGGGGGTGTCAAGCAATTTATAAGAAACTCTTTTTGAATCTTGATCTGCACCCGTAAGTATATATACAGTAGATACATTTTTAAAAAACCTACACAAATAATCTAGAAATAACTAGAAGGTAGCAAACTGTCCCAGCAGAGTGCTTAATTACACCGGCAGGCTTCGGACTGGTAAGTCCTTTTTTAAAAAAACTTTTCTGTGTGGGTTTTGGAGGGTGGATTTGGACTGGGGGGTTATGTTTCTGTGGGTTTGTGTGTGTGTGTGTGTGTGTGTGTGTGTGTGTGTGTGTAACCTGGGGTTTCCGGTATGTATGTATGTATGTATATTATGTCTGTCTGTCTGTCTGTCTGTCTGTCTATAACCTGGGGTTTCCGGTGTGTGTGTGTGTGTGTGTGTGTGTGTGTGTAACCTGGGGTTTCTGGTATGTATGTATGTATGTATGTATGTATGTATGTATGTATGTATGTATGTATGTATGTATGTATGTATGTATGTATGTATGGACTTCACTCTGTATGAGTCTACCCTTAACCATGCATATTGTATGTGCACCTGAAAATCTGGAGAATACAAATTCCTTGCAATCTGATATAGTGGCTCATGAAATTCCCGGCGTGGTGTAATGGATAGAGGGATGGGCTTGGACTCTGGGGAGAAGAGTTTGAATCCCCACTTGGTCAGGGAAACTGACTGGGGGAGAAGAACTGGTAAAACCACTCCTAAAATATCTCACTTACCTTGAAAGCCCATTTAGGGTTGGCATTGGTCAGTTCCAACTTGACAGCACGGAATGCAGAGAGAGAGAGAGAGAGAGAGAGAGAGAGATATGAAAGATAGAGAGAGAGAGAGAGAGAGAGAGAGAGAGAGCTTATGAAAGATCAAGCTACAGTAAGTCTATAAAGTGCCACAGACTTCTTTTTGGATCTTAGCTGCGAATTTTAAAAACAACGGGTTGAGTTACTCGATCCTTCCTGGCAATCACATTGCTGGGCTCACAGGTCATCCGTTGTGTTGCAGTTGTTCTCAGAAGAGTCCCATGGAAATGCTCTTAGAGTTCACTCTGGCGGCCAACCCGGATATTGCATGTTGGAAATATTTATAGATACAATATACCAAAAACAAAGTCAAAGAATAATTCCCTGGTTACTTAGGATTGATAAGAGATGTCATAAAACATCCGGAACATTCTTGCCCTTTAAAACTAATTTTTGGAAGTAACTGGGTTTTACTCATTACGAGTAACTTTAGGGTTAATGATTACACCTAAAAATTAACTTTGCAAATACTGATTATATTGCTGATTCCCCTGCCTTCAACAGCCCTGCTCAGCTGTTCTAACATCAGAGTTGTGGCTTCCTTTAGTGAGTTGATCCATTTTATATTTGATCTTCTTTTCCTGCTGCCTTCCATCTTTCCCAGCATTATTGTCTTCTTCAGAGAATCCTGGCCTCCAGACACCGGCTTAATTGCATCTAGGACCTGCTTGTTTGTTTTTCTGTCAATCCAGGGTATCCACAAAGCTCTGATCCAGCACCATATTTCAAATGAATCAGTTTTTCCCCCTGTCAGCTTTCTTAACTGTCCAGCTTTCACACCCATACATGGTGATCAGAAATACGTAATTATTGTACTTGTAACTAGTTACTTCCAGTTTTGTATGTGTGACTGAAATTTTTTCATAACACTACAAACATCTGATGGGATGGGCTATAGCTCGTGTTGCAGTAATTTTGTTTGTCTCTCACATGTCACAAAGATCAATTTTCATACATTCTGAATAGTCCAAAATTCAAAAGACTTTTCAGAAAAATAATTATACTGTTCAATAATGTGCAAAGAAAACTACTGAGATATGACAAATCTAGATGTGAATGCTTACCGATTATCGTCCCCTGCCTTCATGCCCTGCATAAGGAATTTCCAAGTGGGACATCCGACAGAAAATCTGGGACTACATGGAAGCAAATAACTTGGCCGATTTCCCAAGACCTGTCCATCACCGGATCCCCAATTTCAAGGTATAGTGGTATCCTCCACAGTGCCATTCTGTTTCCATGCACAAAAAGTGCTCATTCTAGTCTATAAAGCCCTAAGCAGCTTGGGTCCAAGCTATCTCAAGGACCATGTCTTCCATTATGAGCCAGCTCCAATGTTAAGATCATCACGAGAGGCCTTTCTCTCAGTCCCGCTACCTTCACAGCTGTGTTTGTTGGGCACAAGGGAAAGAGCCTTCTCTGTCCTGGTTCCCAGACTCTGGACCTCCCTCCCACTGGAGGCAAGGCTGGCCCCCTCTGTACTGTCCTCCTGCAAACAGATAAGAACCTTACTCTCCAGGCAGAGTTTCCTTTAAATGACAGGCCACCTGAGTGAGATTTTTTAAATGGATGGTTTTGTACCGTACTGCTTTGAATGTGTTTTGGTGTTGCTTTTGTTTACCATTCTTTAGTATGGTGTTTGTTTGATCCTTTTAAGTATTTTTATACTTACTCTTTTTAGCTTGAAATACTGTCTGCCTTGGGTTCTTTTTAAGGAGAAAGGTGGAGTAAAATTATTTTAAATACATGCAATTGATAGAGAGAACTGGAACTGTACTTATCTTGTATTCCTTGATCTTAAGAAAAGATCTTAAAGCACAACAAGATGTTGCTTGATCTGAACTGATTTTGGAGAAATTCCAGGAGCAAGGTTTTCAGTAACACAGCAAGCACTCTTATAATAAGGATAAATTAGAAGAAGCTAACATGCTTTGCCTGAAACACTTGCAAAGAAAACTACTGAGATATGACAAATCTAGATGTGAATGCTTACCGATTATCGTCCCCTGCCTTCATGCCCTGCATAAGGAATTTCCAAGTGGGACATCCGACAGAAAATCTGGGACTACATGGAAGCAAATAACTTGGCCGATTTCCCAAGACCTGTCCATCACCGGATCCCCAATTTCAAGGTATAGTGGTATCCCCTACAGTGCCATTCTGTTTCCATGCACAAAAAGTACTCATTCTAGTCTATAAAGCCCTAAGCAGCTTGGGTCCAAGCTATCTCAAGGACCATGTCTTCCATTATGAGCCAGCTCCAATGTTAAGATCATCACGAGAGGCCTTTCTCTCAGTCCCGCTACCTTCACAGCTGTGTTTGTTGGGCACAAGGGAAAGAGCCTTCTCTGTCCTGGTTCCCAGACTCTGGAACTCCCTCCCACTGGAGGCAAGGCTGGCCCCCTCTGTACTGTCCTCCTGCAAACAGATAAGAACCTTACACTCCAGGCAGAGTTTCCTTTAAATGACAGGCCACCTGAGTGAGATTTTTTAAATGGATGGTTTAAACAGTTTTTGAACATTTTAAGACACACTTAAAATAGCGAAAACGGACATCGCTAAGCGAAACAGGGGGACCTAAACTGTCATCACTAAGCGAAGCAAGGTCCCGAACATCCCTATGCAGAATTTCCCCATAGGAAACATCACTAAACAGAGCACAAGATCGCTCCAAAAACCTCATTGCTAAGCAAATACATCGTTAAACGAGGCAATCACTAAGCGAGGCACCACTGTATAAATTTGAAAAGCAGCTAAAATGTCTGCCCTGAACACTCAAACACTGGAGCCCCTCTTTGCTCCCATCTCGCCATAACCTAGAATTTCTTCCTAATTGGCAGACCACCCAAGCCTAGACAGATCAACAAGCTAACTTGGTACAAAGCAGTGTCCTGGGTTCCCAGCAGCGCTTGTTAATGGGAGACATTCTACCAATACAGGGTGCATCTTGTGCTTCTGCCAGGCTCCCAGATTTGCAGGAATTCTGCAGTGCCAGGACTGTTAAAGCCAACCCAGATGCCCCCCAGAAGAATGCCCGCTTTTTAACTCTGGAAGTGAGTATTTCCCCTCTGTTGCCTGCATAGGGATCTTTCCAGCTGAGTTGTTCCATCCAAGGATGTGACATGTTTAATAAAGCCAAGGAAGTGAAGGTGGATCCTGACAAACCTCTTGAGGGAATCCGGCTAGCCGTCCTCCAGGTAATCAGACTGTCTCTCCGAAGAGCATTTCCAGTATTCAGACGTTGGTGGCTCCTGGCTTAGGTTAGGAACTTGAGGAATCCCTGCTGAGTCCTTGCTGAAGGCTCCAGGGTGATTCTTTTCAGCCTTTGCAGTCAAAAGCCACTGCTGAAAATGACCCTTTCCTAATTAGTCCCATTAGATTTTTAAAGCTGTAGTCGTAGCCATCCCCTCATCTTGTGGCAAGGAATCCCATAATTTCAGAAGGGAGTGGGCAAAGAAAAGCTTCGTTATCCCTTCCCTGAAACCTACTATCCATGACTTCCATTAGATGACTCTAGTTCTGTTCTAGCAGTATTTGCAGGATGAAAGAAAGGTTCTCTTGTTGATTTCATCATTTCTGGTTGGTGAGAGTTGTAAGGGAGGAGTGGCCACCATGGGAGATTCCTGGGGCCAATTTTGCACCTCCCAGGAAACACTGTGAACCACTTTTGGAAGAGGGTTTCACTTTTTAGAATTTGACTTTTTGTTTGGTTTTAATAATAATATCAATAATCATCTTAGAAATGAAGAGCTGGAAGGGACCTTATGGATCATTAAGTCCAGCCCCTATAAAGAAGGCCTATAAACTCTCAACCTCTGGTTTCTCAGCCAGAAACCTAAATCACGGAGCTATCCAGCAGTTCTTATTGCTATTTTGAGGGTTTGGGGGAAACAAGGTTGACTGCTTTCCATGTTGTTGCAAAATCCCAATTCCTAGGAGCTTCCAGAAGCAAAAAGTAGCTTCTTCTTCTTCTTTTTAACCATAAACATATCTTGCAGGGCCAGGACACTTTCAAAAGTAGCCTTAGAGGATGCATGTGGTCTGGAGTACAAAAATCATGTTCATATTTCTTGTTTTTCCTATCGCTTCTTCTCATAGGCCAGGAAAACACTCTTGGTACCAACCCCTCGCCTGCGGACAGGCTTGTTCAACCGAATTGTCCCTCCCCCTGGAGCAACAAAAGAGGTCCTAAGAAAATGTGCCACATCTCAGGTAGGAATCAGAAACAGAATAACTTGATGGTTTTCCTTTGTAATTTTGAATTGATTACTTTCTCTGGCAATTTCCTACCATTCTTCAAAACTATTCCGAAGACTCATACCAGGGAGATGTAGAATTCTCACTCAACATCTCCTTCCTGACCAAGACAAGCTGCCTCAATACGGTCTTTCCGGAAGGGTAGCCTAGCAAATATGTCAGGTTGTTTCACTAAAGATGACATAGAATCTGGAGGCATGAGAAAGGCTCACATGTTTATCATGGGGCATGAGCTTCTTGAGATTGGCACCCACTTCCTCAGATCATCACTATCGTCATCTTAGAACTGCAGCGCTGGAAGGGACTCTATGGATCTTGAAATCCAGCTCCTGTCAAGGAGGGCCAGTGGGGAATCAAACTCCCAACCTCTGGCTCCATCAAACTATCCAGCATTTCTAAGGCATTAACTGTTTTGTGCACATTGATGCAAGCAAGCAAGCAAACAAACAAACAAACTAGCTAGCTAGCTAGCTAGCTAGCTAGCAAACAAGCAAGCAAGCAGTGACAATTTTATTACATTTTATATAAAGTATATCACTGCAACAATTTGTTTTTTTAGATCCTCCAATAGTTCATTACCATGAGGTGCCATGTGGAACTTCCAGTGACCAGTATGAGAGATTGAGAGCAATAACACCTGCTCCCCCTTCACACCTGAGACTTGTGACACTAACAGGTCTCATGACACCAGGGAGGGAAAACGGCTACGTGGGCCCAATTTGGAAATTGTTACTTAGGGGTGTACTCACTTTTGTTGCCAGCGGTTTAGACATTAATGGCTGGGTGTTGCGTTACTTTGAGGGGACAGGACATTTACACTGTTATACAAGCTGTATCCTCACTGCTTTACATTGTAGCCAAGTGTCATTTCTTCAGTGTTGTTACACAAAAAGCTATGCTAAAATATTTATGAAATTTGAGAGGGTGTACTCACTTCTGTGATATATTGTATATGAAAAATAACCACAGCAGCTGTAGCTGATGGTAACTGAGATATACTGGCACTGCAGTGTTGTCCCCCAATCAAACAGACGGATAGAAAAACCACCTTTACTAAGGCATTAAGCCTATATCATGATTCGAGCTGCATATGATGGCATGCAACTTCTAGATACCTTGCAGTTTAGATGGTTTGTGTTAGAGGTTGCCTTTTTGGAGTTCCTTTGCTCAGGCTTCTTTGTATTGAGCGACAGAGTGAAAACATTGGTGTGAGTGCTGTAGGATTTTAGATGAGCTGTCATTCAGAGTTGAGTTTGTCCGTAAACATCTTAGAATCCATGAAGACCACCTTAGAGCTGCATATGATGGCATGCAACTTCTAGATGCCTTGCAGTTAGACGGTTTGTGTTAGAGGCTGCCTTTTTAGCGTTCCTTTTCTCAGGCTTCTTTGCATTGAATAAATTGGTGTGAATGCTGTAGGATTTTAGATGAGCTGTCCGTAAACATCTTAGAATCCACGAAGAACACCTTGGTAGGTTTCAAAGAACAGAACCGAGCCATCTCTTGGGTTCAGAGAAGGCTGCTCCTCACTTAAACAGAGAGAGTGTCCCATTTTAAGGGTGGGGAACTCATATTTCAGAACTGCTCTTCCTTTACCCTGGGGTTCAGTTTTTCTCCTTTTTTTCCTTTCCAGGGTGTCAGGGATTACAGTGTCCCTGTAGGGCTAGACGCAAAGGTGCAAGTGGACTTGGTCGTTGTCGGGTCTGTGGCTGTTTCAGAAAAAGGTACATGTCAGGATCAAACAACAACAGCCACGTGTGGCTCCCACGGGCACGAAAGAGAAGGGCGCTGGCTGGAAGGAGCCACTTATGATAGTTTCTCAAGACATTTATCAGCAGCTAGCATCCATCCATCATTGTGAACTGCAGAGCTTGGAAAGCTACTTTTTTAATGCAATTACTCTCAAAATGTAACTTTAAGACATTTTCATCACCCTGGCTGAAGGACTGTGGGAGTTGTAGACCAATGTAAGCTTTAATATAGTCGTTATATTGACTTTTCATCATTCAGTCAATAACAAGGTTGGCAATAAACTCAATGAGCAAAGGCTCACATGAGAATGAAACTTGAGTCGGCTAACTGAAATCAAAGGACTTACGTTAGTGTTGACTGACCAGCCCCATTCATTTTATAGGGTGGACATCAGCAGCGACTAAACCTGGGTTTAGCCCTGAGACTTTCTGCAAATAGGCAACGATGCTAATAAAAAGCACAAGATACTCTGAATGTTACATCTCTGTGATCCTTCTATCTGTTGGTTTCTCACCACAGGCTGGCGGATCGGGAAAGGGGAAGGCTATGCAGACATGGAGTACGCCATGATGGTCTCCATGGGAGCAGTGAGAGAGGACACAGTGGTCATCACGGCTGTTCATGACTGCCAGGTAACGATTACGAAGTGGGAGCAGGCAGCCCACTTCCAAATGGGGCCGGGGTTTTATGAAATTGTACAAGGAAGCAGATAAATGAATTGGTTTAAATAAATAAATATATTTATTGTTATTAACATTGTGTGTTATTAATATACAGTTGTTCTTCCCAACTGGCTGGAAAAATATAGGAAAAGGCTTTGTGGTTCCCTCTAGTGAGCAGTTCTGATACTGCACCTTGAAAATGCACAAATTCAAAAGACAGTACAGTGGTGCCCCACATAGCGACGTTAATCCGTTCCAGGATTAACGTCGCTATCTGGATTCGTCGCTATGTGGGGGGGAAACCCCATAGGAACGCATTAAACTCCATTTAATGCGTTCCTATGGGTGGAAAACTCACCGGTAAGCGAAGATTCCCCCATCCAGCCGCCATTTTCTCTGCCCGGTAAGCGAGGGCAGGGTGCGAAAACGCTGTGGGCAGCCATTTTGCTGATCCGGCGGCCATTTTGAAACCGCCAATCAGCTGTTTTCTAAACATTGCAATGCGAAGATCGGTAAGCGAAACGCTTACCGATCATCGCAATGCGATGTTTAGCCTATCTAAACATCACAATGCAATCGCAAAAAACGTGTTGCTATGTGGATTCGTCGTTAAATAGTGCGCTCATTATGCGAGGCACCACTGTACTTCTTTCACCATGCAGGACTGATGAAAGAATGGAATGAAATTTGAACATATATTTTCCAAATACCTCTCAAAAGTTATTTGTAGGTTGGAAAAAAAATTACATGTTATATTGAAAAGATAAAATGTTGCAACTCCTTGGCCAGAGTACCATTGATGTTTGTGAAAGGTTTGCATACATTGCCACAGCTTATTATTGCTACTTAACAATGTGCAGGAATGCATCGTGGTTCAGCAGTCAGGTGTGGGGCCAGGCACTGGATCAACTGGAACGCCTTTATCAATTAGCTGTAATTAGCTGGAGCACATTAGCAAACCTTACACATACATCCATAGAGTTCAGGTCCATGTTGTACCTCTGTGAGGATGAGAGTAACCCCAGGGATACTCTCCAGGGTATACCATCCGACTCCGATACCAACAGAGCAGAAGAAGAGAGAGATCATTGAAAGAGAGTTAAACCAACTGGGAATAAGTACAGAAGCACTGGGGGGCGGAAATTTTGCTCCTTTAATTTTTGAACCACTTTAACTATATTTATACCTAAATATTTAATATACAGTGGTGCCTCGCTTTATGATCGCTCCATTTAACAACAAAACCGCATTATGATGAACTTTTTGGGATCGCTTTTGGGATCGCTTTATGATGTTTCCTATGGGGGAATTTCGCTTTGCGATGATCCGTTCCCTGCTTTGGGAACCGATTCTTCACAAAACAATGATTGTCAGACAGCTGATCGGCTGTTTTAAAATGGCCACTGGGTAAACAAAATGGCCCCTCGCTGTTTTCTGGGATGGATTCCTCGCTGCACAGGCAGCGAAAATGGCCGCCCTATGAAGGATCTTTGCTGGACGGTGAGTTTCCAGCCCATCAGAACAAATTAAATGGATTTTAATGCGTTTCTATGGGCTTTTAAAATTCGCTTTACAACATTTTCATTCTACAGTGATTTCGCTGGAACAAATTAACGTTGTAATGCGAGGCACCAGTGTAATTACACATTTTAAAACCATATTTATTTACAAACGTTTCTTGTTCATATTTATTGTAGTAACTTCCATTTTTCTAACCTCCGGCTTCAATGGCCATTGCAGCTGACCTTCATGCATGGAGTGGAAGGGAAGCCCCTTCTCCTTTGCCTTGAACTGGTGCAATGTAAAGGTGTGGATGTATTTGAACTAGAGGTATAGGTACAGCATGGAGAAGTTATTTATCTGGACTACATCTCTCAGAACCTTGCAGCCTGCTCTGCCAATAGTGAGGAAGCCACCTGTTTCTTCTCACCATAGGTTGTAGACATACCTGAAGAGCTGCTGGGAGACCATGATCTAACTGTGGATTACATCCTGACCCCAACGAGAACAATCAAGACAGGATGCAAGCGCCCCAAACCTCAAGGGATCCTCTGGCACAAGGTGGGTTCCTCTTGCAGTCTGTTTCCAGGTGCTGTGAAAACAATCTCCTTTTGAAAGCACAGCTGGTAGAATCCGCTTTGGGTACCCTATGAATCAACTCACATTCGGCAAAGTCCCTTTGGAGGATTGCAAGACCCAGAATCTCCTTCCCAGCATAGCCACTTCACATCATGTCAAGAACATTGATCTTGCTGTAATCCTTACAGGTTAGAGGAGCAGGCACCGTGAGACGAGCAAAGAGGTGGACGAAAACAGATGAAAGGGTCCAGAAGGCCTGCTTACCGTTGGTCAACTGGAGAGCAGAAAGTTGCCTTTGGGGATAGAATTCCCAGACCAGGCTAGGGGATTCTGGAAGTTGTAGTCAAAAACAGAGCAACTTTTTCAGTCTCTGAAATCATCATAACATATTATTGTAACTATTAGTATTTCAGTTACCACCAGTAGATCATGACTGCTTAATTTAAGTTAAACAGATTGTGAAAAAAACCACACATATAATAAATGTTCAAACAATGTTCCTGATTAATCAGATAGCAGTAAAAAAAAGTTGTATAGATACTTGTCAAAAGTTGCAGATTCTCTCTCTCTCTTTTTTAATTCAATAAGCCATCACCCTAACCATGGATTTTCCCAAATTTTGGGATTTTGATATCCTTCCCTTTCTTTCTATACCTTTGATCCCATCCTTCCCTTCAGCTGTAGTGTCAGAATATGGTCTCCATAAATACTCTCTTTCCTCTCTCTCTCACTTCCCTAATTTCCAATTGTAAGAGAGATATGTTGGGTTCTGGAAAAGAGAAGGCCTGCCCCCCCCCATACACAGCCCCCAGACCCTCTTTTATCTTGGTGCTGTTTTTGACACTCTCGGAGACAGGATCAGGTCTGCAGGGAAGCCTGTTTATCCAAAGAGGGTATATTGCTTTCTGCAGTTCTCTGCTTATCAAAAAGAGAAAAAAAGTGGGGGGGGGGCAGTGGGAGATGAAAGCCGGCCAACTGATTGGGGGGGGTGGTGGTTTCAAGGTGTGACTCTGTTGCCCTCAAGGCACTGCCATCTGCTTGACTTGATTTGGGGGGGGGGGTTTCAAGGTGTGACTCAGTTGCCCTCAAGGCACTGTCATCTGTTTGCTTGATTGGAAATGTTTTCTTTTTTTAGCATGCCAATCCTCTTCCTGGTCAGTGATTGAAATGCAAAATCCTCCTTGGCAGAGCAAGGCAATGCATGTTCAGTGGTCGGAGTATCAGGAGGGTGGCGCTCAAATCCCTGCTCTGCTATGGATGGCCTTTTACAACCTGCACCATCTTGGCCTGCCCTGACCCCCATAGGGTGGTTGTGTGAACTAGGTGGGAAGGAGGAGAGGAGAGCCAGGCACTCTTGTCTTGAGTTTGCTGGGGAAGGGGAGGGAGATAAAGGTGAGATACCAATTGTGTAACCAATAAATATAAGGAAGAAATGGTTCCAGGAATAGAGGATTCCTTTTTTTTAAGGTCTTGCTGATCATTCTTGAAGGTAAACGTCCAGCTGTTTCTAGAAACAGTGCTGCAGGGGGAAGCCAGCCTTCCTTGGCAGCCTCTCCGTGTTGGGATGCAGTTCTCCAAACATCTGTATGACCCCCTTTCCTGCTTTCCTGATCGAGAGCGTTCTGTCTCCTTCCAGGATCTCAATGCAGGCATCACCAAAAAGGAGGAAAGGCTTCAGCCCAAACGTCAGGCATGGAGTTTCTGTGTGCTGTTTTGTGTTTTTTTGTTTTTTCAATGACCAGATGCAAACTTAGATACTTGCACCTACAAATGTGGGGCATCTCCTTGTAATGCGGGAAATTGTGGCCAGAGGATCTGCACAGCTACCCAGTCCACTGCTAAGGAGCTTACTGTTGACTGGCCGCCTCAAAGCCCCTCTTTGATCTCTTTGCCCACATCTGGATTGAACAGTCCCTCAAACAGAGGTCACTGCCCATAGAGGACTGTCTTGGCTACAGTGCAGCATGGCCACCCTGCTTGTAGATCAGCTACAGAGCACCACTTGTCCCAGTATTAACTGTTCACCAAAGATGGAGAATCACAGCCTCCCGCATGTCCCTACTGGCACGGCAGAGACCATGTCAGCTATGAGATTCTGAAACTCACCACCCAAAAAAAGTAGCTTCTCCATGATCTAGATTAGGTCCTGCCAACAGCTTAGGCTTGAGGAAGGCAGTGTCTCCTTTGCACTTCTAAAAAATTGCCGTTCGATTCCTGCGTAGTTTGGGCGATACACCTGGAACGATCCAATTCCACGGCCCACATTTTTCCCTACCTCTGTCTCTGGCTTCAAAGAGAACTCCGCCTCTCTGCCTTGTGCTCTCTTTCACGCTCTTGAGTCTGTTGACCTCTGTTTCTGGAGGCAGTCAATTTGTTTCTTTGTGTTTCCTTGCTTTTGATATGTAAGTAATGAAATGGTTTCTTATTCTTTCTACTACTAATATCTCAGAGTGAGTCACTGAGACGGTAAGTGCCAGTTAGTGAGAAAAGGAGGTGGTCTACTCTAGGGAAACCTGAACCTACTCTGCTCTGTGAATCCCTGTCCTTCTTCTTGTGTAGCAAAAGGAATTTAACTCAAAAGTCCAACATTCTGGAACCCCCAGGTTGCCAGACTCAAGAGTGGGGAAGCCTGGATCTCGTTCTCCGCTTAAACCTACCTCACAGAGGTATAACTAGAAAAGGAAAGGAGAACCATCTGCACCCACAAGGAGCTCCTTTGGTTAGGGTATGGCAGATGATGCTACTGACAAAAGGGCATGATCACTCTTTCTAGTGAGTGTCTTTGGTATCTATTTATTGATAAGGAGGGGAGGTGTTGACTCTTTTTTTGCCCCTTTCTTCAGGTCAGTCATGAAACAATGGCAAAAATCCCAATCCTCAAGAAGCTCCACCACAAGGAGAAACGAGAAGGCAAGGACGTCACCCTCGGAGATGACCGGCCGGAGCATTCCACTGCTGGCCAGCCGACGAAAGCCGCCCGCAGCCGTCGGTGGCAAAGCGCCGGGTGGCAGAAGGAGACCGGCCGAGCCCAAGCAGGACTGGAGCAGGAGCTGGTGTCAGAGCAACCGGCCCCACCCCTTATCCAGGACACCGTGTATGTGGGTGGCCTGCCTCCGGCCGCCAGAGTGAGTGAGTTGAAGGAAGAGCTCCAGGCACGGCACGCCACTCCCGTGAGGCTCACGTGGCACGGGGCCCGCTACCAGGCGTTTCTCCATTATGCCAGCCCGTCGGCCGCCGAGGGGGCCATCACCGCTTTGCAAGGCTTGAAGCTGCACGGGAGCCCCCTGCGCGTCGAGTGGGCCAGGAGCCCGCCTCACCCAAAGACCAGCCAACGCCAGTAGACGGAGAACAAAAATGGGCCTTTGAACTGCAGGCTCTCCAGAGGGGTGACCCAGTGGAGCAGGAAGAATGGCTTCTCTTTGTTTGGACAGCCTGGAGAGGAGATGTGGCCTGCCTGAGAACTTTGTGTGGCTGCCAGCTGTGTACCTGAAAAATAAATTTAAAAAGCAGGGGGTGATTTTGAACAGATTTGCCGTCAGTTGGTTATCTAGTGTCCTTAGGAGGAGGGGAAGGGCTGGTTTTAAGGTTTATCTACATGGCCAACTGATGCATTGGTAGAAACCTAAAAGGCAGGGTAGCCTGAAATGTTGGAGGTGAGAAGGTGCCCTTTGGGAAGTCTTCTTCTCATGTGGAAAGCTAGCCCATCAGGAGCAATGGTTCCAGCTCAGCCGTGTCTCTGTCTCAAGGCTGTTCTACTTTCTGAAGTCTCTCTCTGTGTGGTTTTACACTGGTGTGGTGACATCTGGAAGTTAACAGAGTTGCACGCTCCTCCTGGACCTCAAGAGAGTGGTCCCTCCCATGCTATCGCCACTTTATAAGTAAAAAAAACACCCTGGACTCTCTCGGGGTGTTTGACAAGCAATGTGGTGATTCTTTCAGTCCCCTCGGCCTGTTTTAGGTTTGGGGGAAAGCAGCCTAGAACAGGTTGGGGGACCCGTGCTTCCCTAGAGCTTGGGAGGGTCTGCTTTAAGGCAGAACAAACTGGGAGTGTGTCAGGTTAGGAGTGCTCTGGGTGGTCCAGGAAGCATGTGTGGCCCCTAGGTCTCTGGATGCTGCCTGCTCCTGATGTAAAATAAAGGTCTGCTCCCTTGCAGGTTTAAGCCTTGCAAAGCTGTGATGGCCACCAGGTCCGTCTGGATCTACAGACTGATAAAAACTAATCCCAGATTTGGGCTTGATTCTGCAAAGAGAAGTGCCTTGCTCCATAGCTGAGTGTCTTTTGCCTCCTCCTGTGCCACTGCTATCTAAAGAAGACCTGAGTTCCTATCATCAACGCACTCCTCTTGATATCTTGCTCGGTTGCAAGTGCAAAACAGACCTTGGCTGAAATTACATCTCATTTATAGTGTGAATACAGTGGTGCCTCGCTTAGCGATGTTAATCCGTTCCGGAAAAAAAGTCGCTAAGCGATTTTAAAAAGGTCATAGAAACGCATTAAAATGTGTTTAATATATTCCTATGAGCTTAAAAACTTAACTTTCAGCAAAAATCCTCCATAGCGCCACCATTTTCGCTGCCTCTTAAGCGAGGCAAAACAGCAGGCGGCCATTTTGTTTTTCTGGCAGCCATTTTGAAACTGCCGATCAGCTGTTAAAAAAGGGTCGCTTTGCCATGATCGCTTCCCTGCGATCATCACAAAGTGAATTTTCCCCATAGGGACCATCACTAAGCGATCGCTTTTGCGATGGCAAAAAGTACATCGCTAAGCAATTTCGTCGCTCAACGGAGCGATCGCTAAGTGGGGCACCACTATATATCTTCTGCTATGGAAAACCAGTTGTGTTAACATCTGTCTGGCCATTGAATGGCCTGACCATTTGGCAACGCAGGAATGGTTCTTGAGTCCTCTCGTACTTTTCACTACATTGTAGCCTTCACCTCCAAATTCTCATTCTCAGTATTTGAATACAGGAAAACTCACCCATCAAGAGAGTGCATGCTGCCCAAAAAATTAATTTGGAAGGCACTTGGCTTTGCAGAATCAAGCCCAAATCTGGGATTAGTTTTTGCCAGTCTGTAGATCCAGACTGACCTGGAGGCAAAATGTTGAAACTGTCTTGCTTTGGGCACATCTTGAGAAGGCAGGATTCTCTGAAGAAGACATTGATGCTGGGAAAGGTAGAGGGCAGCAGGGAAAGAGGAAGACCCCAATACGAGATGGATTGATTCCCTCAAGGAAGCCACAGGCTTGAGTTTGCAAGAGCTGAGAAGGCAGTTGAGGACAGGGCATTCTGGAGGTCTCTCATTCATAAGATCGCCATAATTTGGGGGCAACTTGATGGCAAACACCAACAACATCATCAACAAAATCAATCCATCTCTGTCTGTCTGTCTGTCTGTCTGTCTGTCTGTCTGTCTGTCTGTCTGTCTGCAGATCAAATTATCTTTGTTTCCTTACAAAACACATTGTATTTTGCTTAGGCAGGCCATGACTGAGCGGTGGGATTTCTCCCTGCAGATTTTGGAGCGAGACCACCCCCCTCTCATCCACAAGCCACCTCTGGTGTTTGAGCTGAAAGTCTTTCTAAACAGAGGCACTTTTGCAGTCAAAATAAGTGCTGAAATGGTTCACTTGCTTAAAACAATAAGAACACCAAGAGTTTTAAATTGCGGGCTTTGTGTTGCTCCAGGGTGTAGCGCTAAGTATATTTTAAGCCCATTATTATGCCCCAGGAGAGGCTGGCCTTTCACAGAGTATTAAAATGAAAACTTCTCAAAGTTGCAGGGCGAGCTTTGCATAAAATCCCACAGATGGCACTGCTTTCCTCCTCCCTGGTTGCTTTCCATTCTAAAGATAGCGAAAGCTGCAACCAATGGCGTTGAGGCTGTCCGTTTTGCCTGAAGGAGCAGGATGCAATGGGGGAGAGGCATTTCATTTTTCTCATGGAATAAACAGGCTTCTTCCAGAGCGAAAATAGATTGGCATTTTCTGGAGAGCCGCCTTCTTTTCCTCCTTTGCTCAAGAGGGGGTTCCAACCTGTCCTGCACTTAGGAGCACAGAAGGAATCGAAGGTCAGGTTCTTCTGACCCCCTAGTCCAGGGTAGAAAGTCCCTAGCAATCCAGAGAAATGCACATCCATGGCTCTTAGAAGGGTGCAAACATTCTCACGATCCCAAAGGCTCTTTTTTTTCATATACAATTTTTTTTTCCAAAACTGGAAAGACCTCCTCACACCTTCTAGAGGCCGATATATCCAAAACTGGAAAGACCTCCTCACACCTTTTATTTTTAAAATATTTTTTTTTAAATTGAAAAGGCTTCCATGTGCCCTGTAGTGGCCAATATATTTTTTATGTTTTTTTTATTTTTTAAAATATATATTTTTTTAATTGAAAAGGCTTCCATGTGCCCTCTAGTGGCCAATGTATTTTTTATGTTTTTTTAAAAAAAACTTTAGGGATGCTGAATTATGGCATAATTCTGCCCCCATACCCACCATGGGACAATGGGATCTTCAGGGAGCTATTTTTTATTACATTTTGGGAGAGTTTAAAGGTGCTGGGGAGGGCTGCATTAATTTCTGAGCTCTGTCCCTTCTAGCTCATTATAATTGATCTCAACCTTCTCTCGTCTGTGCTATTAAAAGGTTGGTGAACTAGATCATAATTTCCAACACCTTCCCTTGCCTTGGCATGTACCAGCTCTTGGGCAAGCCTGGTCTTAGCCTCAATTACAGTGGCCCCTGCCTACGTTTTCCAGCCTTACCTGGCAAGGCTGGGGATCAAACCTGGCACCCTCCCCAAGCAGAATATATGACTTAACCTCAAGCAATGGCTGAGCTTCCCACCCACTGCACCCTCCCAGCTGCCATGCAGAAAGCTGCTTTGGAAAGTCAGAAAAGTTTTCAAAAGCAGTGGGTGAAATGGTGGGAGCCATATCCTACCGTCCCATTTGTGTGGAGAACCTACCACATCCTCATTAAGTCCAGCTTCTAATCCAGGGTGTGGTTTCCACCACCACGATGGCATTAACTGAGGTGAGGTACTATTTATTTTATTTTATATTATTGGTGGCGCTGCGGGCTAAACCGCAGAAGCCTGTGCTGCAGGGTCAGAAGACCAGCAGTCGTAAGATCGAATCCACGCAACGGAGTGAGCTCCCGTCGCTTGTCCCAGCTCCCACCAACCTAGCGGTTCGAAAGCATGCAAATGCAAGTAGATAAATAGGGACCACCTCAGTGGGAAGGTAACAGCGTTCCGTGTCTAAGTCGCACTGGGCATGTGACCACGGAAGATTGTCTTCAGACAAAACGCTGGCTCTATGGCTTGGAAACGGGCATGAGCACCGCCCCCCAGAGTCGAACACGACTGGACAAAAATTGTCAAGGGGAACCTTAACCTTTACCTTATTGGATTTCTACTCCGCCCATCTAGACCAAAGGTCTCCTCTGGACTAGTCCAATTTCCTGCTGTTCACTGGATTTTTGTAGAAGAAGCATTCCTTACATGGAAGAGAAGAGGGAGATGCCCCTTGTCACACACCTACTGCTGATGGAGATGTATTTTTGAAAATGTGTGCTTGCACCAATTTGCAGGTGGGCAATGAAAAGGAGAATGGAAGAGGAACAAGAAGAAATAGACTAATTTTTATTTCTGGTTTGGGGGGGTCACAGAGAGCCCTCCTGAAATTTCAGAGCAAGTCCCCCACCTGTTATGAGATCACTAAAAAATTAAAAACCAGGAAAAAAACACATTGAGTTCCCAGGACTTTTCTTCAGCTACAGATGGAAGGAAACTGGAGAGCAGTGAACAAGTGGGAACAATTGCATTCTGGAGAACGCCAATGATCACCTTTATTCATAAACCAATAAAGGTATCACCTAACCTATAATTTTATTTGTATCAGGGATTACAAATCTACCTTTTTCCCCCCTGTTGGGCTAAGACTTTGTAACCAGCTTGGAAGGCCTCAATCCTGGCTACAAAAAAGGCAAGTGCTATTTTAGGAGGCATTAACAGAAGTATAGTTTCCAAATCCTGCAAGGTGTTATTCCCCCTCTATTCAGTTTTGGACACCACACTTCAAGAAGGATGCTAACAAGTTGGAACAAGTTCAGAGGAGGGCGACAAAGATGACCAGGGGGCTGGGAACCAAGTCTTATGAGGAAAGACTGAAAGAATTGGCCACATTTAGCCTTGAGAAAAGAAGAGAGGTGATATGATAATACTTCTGAAATACCCTTGAGAAAAGAAGACAGAGAGATGATATGATAATGCTTCTGAAATATTTGAAAGGCTGTAAGGATCTGTTCTCATGGGCCCCTTGCAACTTCACTATTCTATGATTCTATGACCAGACCTAAGTTTACAACAGCTGCACTGGTAAACGACACCTCTCAAATAAATACAACTTATTTTATCACATCTCCCAGTAGCCCCACTGGCTGGGACTCCCTGTGGTCTGTAGATTAAAAGCGTAACTTTTCCAAGCTCTGCCTGAAATCTGAGCTCCTCGTCATC